TTGAAGCCTAGAGTTCGGCATTCTGGCCGTCGACATCTTGGTTTTTTTTGTAGCCAGTGGTGACCATATCTGGACCAGACCGTGGCACTTGGTGTGTTCAGTTCAGACTACCAGTAACAAGCAACAGGCTGGGACGGCACCCATCTGTCGCTCAAAGCGGCCATGACTTGATTTATGCATAATTTTAAGCCTTAATTAAAAAGGGTGAGTTACATAAATATTCACACCCAGTAGGCTACAGTTGTCATGAACCGGGGAATTAGCTATAGAGAACAAAACCATTTTTTATACCAATACCAAGTTAGGTATTTTAATATGAGGACTGACTCACTTTTGGAGCATGACTTCAGTGGTCATTCAAGGAACCGCAGTTTTTAACACTTTCGCATTGGTTCAATTTTCAGACCGGAGGTTGCCAGTTGGTCGAAGCAGATTTTACTGACTTTAGCTAGCTAGCTCCGTAAGCTAGCGTTATCTCTTTGATTTGGTTGAAAACACTGTATGCAACTGACTTTTTTAATCTTTCAAGCTGACTCGTTTTAAAACAAGAATCTTGTAACAGGGGTCCTAAATATGGACTTAATGGCTACATACGTTAATGTGCTAAAAGCCTGACACTAAAGCAGGCAAAAAGTCAGCATTCTCACAATGATGATGTAGAAGACACAGTGGGTAAATATTATACAGCGGATTTGCTATTTACTTTTCTAACGTAACCCCCACAAATGAATGTCGTTAGTTAACGATGTCCTCCTTTAAAGTTACACTCCCCAGCTAGTTAGCTGTTCATTAACATTTGCAGCTTATGTTAGAGCACATAAACACATTTTATCTTTTCCTGACATTTTTGCTCTAATTTTTTTGTTTTAGCAAAGTCAAGTTCAAGTCTTTTTTGATTTTGTCAAGTCTAATGTCACCAGAATTTCAAATCCACACCTTTGGTTTGTTGATCATCTCAGAATAAACTCCTCTTCTCCGAGCACCACAACTAAATTTAAACCTCATTCTTCATTTCCACTGACTGACTGGAACATGCTGATTCAGAAGTACACTGTATAGGGACTGATGAACTCTAGAGAGAATAAAACAAGTCAGAGGTTCAGAAGAAAACAGCCATTTCAACCTGCCCTATCTCCATTTGCCGAAATATGCGGTCAGCCACAATACTATATCACTGCAAAGCCCCCACCTCCTCTAACATTGCTTTATAAATATTAGAAACTGTAAAGTGAAGGAGTCCTGGCACACATTCAAGTCCTCAACCTCTGCAATACTAAATGTAACACTGAAAAACTCTCTAAGGGCATTTAGTTGTGTTTTAAAATTAAATGTCATGTGTATATAAAGTGACTTTTATCGTTGCTTCGTTTGTGTTGAGTTGAGCTGGTTTTAAAAGCACCTGGTTTCCTCCACCCCACCTAAGCAGCATATTGAATGTACTTATTCTTTCTGTGTTTTTATTATCATATTTTACTGCCACCATTAATTTTATCACCATACAAATAAAGCTTGCCTTAAACAAAATGACAATCTTGAACAACCTATTGTTACTGTATCATGAGAGCCCAACGATAACACAAATCACACAGCTTTCCATTTAGGGTTGTTACTGGGAACAGCCCAAAAACACAAGTCGTCTCCATCTGGTTGGCAGTTGTTAAAGTTGCAAAGAAGTAAATCATCCTTTACTATGTGCGAGTGTTAAAAACGTTTTGATCTTAAAACATTTTCAACTTTAAAAAAAGCTAATTTACTGCTGTATCAACACTATGGCTGTGTTTAGAATGTCAATACTTTGTGTAGGGCTGGGTAATATGGGTGAAATCAATACAAATGCATTAATGGTTAATGATCTCATCCCATTATTGATATACATCGGGAAAAGGATGCAAAATGACATAAAATAATCAAACTGATCAATCTCCACCCAAGGTCCAATTATTCGCCTGTTCTAGAGTTGAGACTGTTTTGTCAAAGGTCAATTTAATACATTGAACGGTGTTCCACTCTCCATTGTAAAATAACAATCTTAATAATAACTTTCAGTAGCTTTTAATTAGAGTTTGAATTGAACATATTTTTTTTTAACCCAATAACATGATATGGTCACGATATGGTCACAAAAAGATTACAACAAAAGATGATACAATAATATAGAATTACTGCAAATCTCCATTGAAAATTGTTCAATTATTAGTCAAAATCTTTTTACGGAATGTTCTTGTACAATTGTTTGTATTAAGACACGTTTAAACACTAATGCATTTGAGAAGTTTGACTTTGACAAGTCTTTTAGAAAACACTTAAAAATCAAAACTTACACTCATAAGAAAAAAAGCTCTGTCGCTCAGTATAATACACATTATATTGTACACAAACATTATGATTCCTCTTTATACATGATACATGCAGCCACTGTTTAGTGAAGGTTTAAGAAGCATTCCGAGTGCACAGGTTTGGAATTTGAACCCAAGCACAGGCTTCATTGACACTTGTATCAGGATGACATCCATGCAGCCAAAGTCACCACTGACTGAGGTTTGTCAGTTCAGCTCACAGACAACAGTGCCTTAAAACAACCATCTTCAATTAACAAAATTATGAACTTTTTTAACAACAATTTTACACATGAAAGTTTGTATACAAGGAGTTGGGGAGTAGTACTGCTTATGTGAAAAAAGTTGAGTAAACTATGTGAGTCAAGGTCGGTAAAAATATATGTTGTAATAAAATGTAAATAATCTGGGGGTGTGGAGTTTGAAAGAAGTGAGTTTACCAAACCTCTGTAGCTCCTCATCTCTGCTTAAGGCTAGCGGCTGCAACTAGCATAACATAGTCAAATCTTCAACCAAACGGTTGAAAAATGCATGGAATAAAAAAAAACATTACCTCTTGTTCAGCTGCATCAGATTTAATGCCTTTTTTAAACTGTCCATCATGAATCCAACCAGGTTTAGGCTGTCTTAACAATGTTTCCAATATGACAGGCATGCAAACTGCTTTTGTTTACAGCTCACAAACATGACTTGAGACGTGACGTGCTTATTTTGCTATTTCAGTCACACAGACATTTCAGTCTATCAATCTTCCTCAAAACAGGTTTCAAGGCTGAGTATGAAGGAGCTTTTTGTCTTTTACATCTTATACTGTAGCACTAGCATCAAGTAGCACAAAAACAACAGTTTATCCTGAAACGTGGCTTTATTTTTTTTTTGCTGGATGATTTCTGTCAAACTTGAGCCTTTCTTCAGGGTTGACATTAGTGAGTAGTGTTGACTGTGGGGTGTGTTGCTATTGACCAGCCCAGATTCACTGAATGCCACATGGAGACATTGAATGTACCAAGACACCGAACTGCTGACACTTCAACATCACAGGCTCACTCTAACCTTCAAGTGACCAGCTTCAACAGGGACGACAGGAAGACTGGTTCCCCTTTCATCTCACATTCAAAGGTTTATCTGAGCGAAAGCACAGTCGTTTTTTTTTTTTTATCAAACTGCCATAAATGACAGATACTAAAGAAGGCGAGAGGTTTGTGTTCATCATCAAGCCAACATATTTAATCTGTGCTTAGTCAACAGGGAGTCAGGATGAAGGCAGATGTCCTAGAGCATGTAGTGGTTCTGATTAATACTGGACTTATGTTAATTAAAAGATAAATTACATATTAATTACAATTATATCATTTGTAATACATTACTATTATTTATAATAAATTAGATCTTGGTTGCAACAATGACAAATTTGAAAATGGGGTGACCACAGACTAAGCACCAACAGTTATATTTATCACAGATGTTTCCACCCTGTGTGGAGGGTTTTAAGTCAGGATTAACACAAACACAAACATGAGTATAGTTGTGTTAAACTTCTTTTAAAGACAGTTGGTCTTTTTCAAGTCAGAAAAAAGTAATTTAGCTCTGTCTGGGAGAATGTAAACAAAGTGCCATCACATCTCATTAAGGTTTGATGGCAGGAAATTATTTAGTTATCCAAAAACATCAGCAGTAAATGTCAGGTTTTGCTGTCAATCTCTCTCAATCAAAAACTGTTTTGCATGTGCTACATACAAAACACTACTCAACTGAGCAAAATGCATGGTTGGCAATAGATATTTTTGAGTAAACTGTGCAAATTTTATTTCTTGCTCATTTCTATGCAACAACATCAAACCTACAGCTGAATACTTGGTGTTGAAAGCCATTATGGGGAGTGTAGGACATCACAAATTGAAATATGTAACATTAAGGATAAGGGAACATTGTTGAACCAAAACACAGTTGTCCTTCACTCCTAAATATGTCCACCAAAGCGACATATTGATCATAAATAAGAGTTATCTGAGGCTGGAAATGTCCTTTACGTTTTGGCAAATGTTTAAGCTGTTTAATGTAAGCAACATCAAACTTTGTATCACTTCTACACATGGTTTGGCTTTTGTAAAACAACATGTTGTGCTAAAAATACCTTGGAGATTTAGGATCATGAATCTATTAGATAATCCCTGGAATTGGGACAAGCATTAATCCTCTGCTCCATGTCATGTCCCAGCTATTGGGAAACAACATTGCAAGAACCAACAAAACAAACACAACAAACACCAAATGTGGACACCACGAAGGAGGTGAAAGTGAGGTTTCTAGAAGGTCAGGTTTGGGGGAAGCCTTCAGCCTCAGGGAGGTGTTTAGTGGCAGGACGTGCTCAGTTAGTTTGGTGGCTGTGGGAGGAGGGAGGGTGTGTCTGCAGGGCCCTGATGCAGCACTAGAGACTTGACAGCTGTGTTTATATCTGAGCACAAACTGTGTAGCAACTAAAACAGGACAAAGACAGACCCAAAAGAAAAGAAACACCCTAATGAGTTCAATAAACATGGATAACCCACTAAAGTAATGACAGATGAAGCATGCATGCAGCTTTTGGTCACATACTACCCTCGTCTTCATGCTGACGCCAAACACAAACACACAACTATTACATGTATAGACAGCTGAACTTACTCGTTTTTCACATATCTAGTCTCATGAAAGACCTTATCCAGCTGGATCACCGCCTGGCCGAGGAACACGTCCATCGCGAGCGCCCGGTGCATGACGGTGAGGACCAGCTCGTTGCTCCCGGCCGGGCAGCCGCTCTCCAGCACGCCGGGCTGCAGCTCAAACGAGCACTCCTCCCTCCACTCCGGCTCGGTGGTCTTCTCCACCACGCAGGTCGAGTATTTCTCCTTCCCCAGCTGGATGATGGTGTACGCGTCGCTGGTGCCTTGCTTGCCCTTGCCCCGTAAGCTCCTGCCTCTCAGCACCGTCACCTGAACGTGTGTCGGTGTCCATTTCTGGTCCTCCTCGACGGTTAGCGAGGACATGTCCCCCTCCAGACAGACAGACCGACCGACCGTCCTGCCGCGCACACCGTGACGAGGCGAGGCAAACCGGGGAGAGGTGGTGGTGGTGTCCGCCGCTTCCTCCCTGCTCTGGGTGTGCACAGTCACATCAGCTCCGGGGTCGGCGGGCGGTGCCGCATTATGGCTGTCTGTAGCCTCTGCAAAGTTTCCGTGGTTGCCGGGTGTTTAGTGCCCTGACTGCTCCCGTGTTTCGCAGCAGTCTGCTCTGCAGCACCAGCAGCGTCCGTCCCCGCACGGCTCGTCCCTGCCTCTCTCCTCCTGCCGTACGGGCCTCTCTGCGGGCAGCGACGTCACGCCTCTATCCTCCTTCTTCTGCAAGACGAGGAAGTTCAGCTCTGCCACAACACATGGGCTGCATGCAGACACCATTAAACAAGCCTGTGCTGGAATGTAGGTGTGATAAATCTGCTTGTTGTGTTATCCAACAAACACCACTCCTCTGAAACAGTGTAAAACTGGTCTCTGTTTGGCTGTGATGCCTGTTCACAATGCAGATAGTCCAACCCTGATGGAGGCCTCTGTTCTACAAGCTATAAAACATAATTTAGGCTACATACAGGAAAGCCAGATGATGTAGCTTCTAGTCCTTTCTATGCACATGCACTTACATTAACATGTTAAGTAACTCCCACAGACTCACAAAACACTTAAAATGTCATGTAAAATCTGAGATAGGGCTGCAAGGAATTGATATTGATAAGTAGGCCTATTTGTGTTTATGTGCTATAACATAAGAAAACTGTGAAACCAACATAACCGTCGTGAAGACAAGTAAAGGAAAGAAGCTGGAACCAAAGAATAGTGGGCATATGTGCTTGAAAACTGACTTCAACGATTCATCGAAAATAGTTGGCTTATAAATGAATTATTCAACTAAATATTGCATCTCTAATCTGATAAGGTGTGAAACCTGAGAGTCATAATTTGTGCACGTAATCTACATGATGGTACATCAAAGCAGACATGTTGGTACAAGCATTTTCATAAAACATGACTACATTTTTATTTTGAAAGGACATTACTTGAAAACTAGCTTGTTGATGGTTTGATTTGATAAAACAAATCCAACTTAAAGGTAAACTTTCTAGCGTTTCCCAGAGCTTCCATCCATATCACATGATCTTTATAGGTGGATGGAGTTAGCTCAGTTTTAATGGAGATGGATCTGTTGACATGCACGCCATGTTACAATTTCATCCATACTCGCACAACACTTTAAGGACTTCTTTTCCAAGTTGGTTTAGAGTTAAGATGGAAAACAACAACCACATCTCAAGGTCCACTTACACATTTTTAACTGTATCACATGACCTTCATCATTAGTTTTATTGCCTCTTCATGCTAGCAGGAGGCAGATCCAAATCAAGGTTGTCTTTATCTGGATATTTTAAACCTGCAGTGCAGAACTTTTGTCTCCTCACTTCTGACAGTGAGAGTAATTACACAACACTGTCAACATGTGCTTATAAGCTTATGTCCTTACAGCTCTGTCTTGCTGAGTTGCTGCTGTAGCTAGCGTTGCTCCTTCAGCTCTGGCAAACCAATCGTTTGCTGGTTGGCATAAAACACATCACTGTGCCAGCGCAGACACCCGAGTTAAAAACTCTGGTATACTGCGAGTACAGAGAGATACGTGGTGTTATATACGTGGTGCATAATCAGCACTGTGTTAACTCATCTGGCAAGACTTTGAATGTAATGGACGTTCATAAGTCATGCAATACAGCTTTACGTAGTAACATACTATTTTAACCTTTCATGATCCTGATACACCAACTCAGAGGTTAAATGCTGCATCTTTACAATACATTTAACTAATTAACATGTAGCCTACTGAGCACTGTTGCCTTTTAAAAAAAGGCTACAATGTGTCATGTGTATATGTCAAACACATATATGTATTGTGTTGCAGAGATATGGACTGAAGCCAGACCCGGCCTATCTCTCTGGTAGTCAGTACCTCAAGAAGCAATAGTCGGCTGGTGTTAAATAATACGTGTGCTCCTCTATTTGTCCTAATTTCTCTTCTCTTCTTACTTCTACAAACCTGACGAAACTACTGCTACTACTACTTCTTTTTTCTCTTTCGTATGTATTCAACATAGTGACGAAACATGCCCTGTAAGAGCAGTTTGTCCCTTTGGGCTACTGTAGAAACATGGCGACTTCCATGTAAGAGGAGCCACGGTGTACGTAAAAAGAAATGTCTCAGTCTAAGGTCATAAAAACATAACGGTTCATTATGTAAGGTGATCCTCCTAAATATTACACACTGAACCTTTAATTGCTGGTGTGTCCTTGTGGTTGCATGTTGCAACTGTTTTCTGTCTTTTACTTGGCACTTATGTCTGTTAAGTATTTTTTAAATTAGGTTTCTTTTATCTTTTACATACTTGCACAGTCTTCTTATCCTTCCTTTTTGTTTTGTTTATTTCCCTCCTTCACCATCGGGACCCTTTTTTCTTCCCCATATACCAGCTGTCATTGTGTAGAAGAATTTGTTCCCAGTTGACTTGCCTGCTTCAGTCTTGTCTGAACTTACTTGACCTGCTGCCATGCCTCGTACGACCTGGGGCGTGTGAGGTTATGTCTACCCTGGAGTGACTGATGCGAGGAGAGTTAATGTTGCTGCTGGTGTTGGTGATGTAGTGCTGAACTCTGCAGAGCTTACATGTGAGAAAGTCAATAAATAGTGAGGAATTTGATGCTGCATGTCCGCAGATGGCCTTCATTAGATGTCATAGCCTATAACCCAGATTTTTATTGACAAACAAGTTAAAGGGATCATTAATTTAAGTTAGAGGCTGGAGTTCTGGAGCAATCCCATTCCATTTCAGGCCAAACCGGCCAGCGCTCAGGAGTTTTTATTTCTCAGTTTCTGTTTTATTTTATGATCCGCGACCCCGCCGGCCTGCCAGTCTGCTGCAGCGAACACTGTCTGGGTGTCTGACTGGGCCAAACCAATACTTCCTATATGGAGGGGGTGTGCGAGCAGACCCTCTCAACTTGGACCGATCTTCGTTTTTGCTGAAATCTGATTGGCTCAACAGGGCAGATCAGAGAAGTTTACTTTCCATCTGGAGCGAGTTTCACCTCCAAAACGTTTTGACGGGGCTGAAGTCAACGCTGGGTTGTGTGATAAGCCCAACAGAGACGGTAAAGGTGGAGAAGAGAGTGAAAGAGGAACACGAAATGTGTGATGCCGAAAAAATAAGAATTAAGAAGAAAAAATGTTGGCAATTTGCCAATTTAACGGAGGAATCTCTGTATGTCTTTTTGTATATTAGCTGTGGAGGTGATGCACAGGGACAGGGTGATGATGACTCCAGTCATGCTGATGAGGAGGGAGAGAAGAAGCAGCAGGAGGAGAAAGAGGAGGACAGGGAAGAGAAGCAGCAGGAGGAGAAGGTAAATGGAACCAGACAAAACAGTGAAAAGTACTGGGACAGTGTGTGTTTTTAGAATTAGATAATGGATTATTGTAAGTCATATTTATTACTGATTTTCTTCTCATGCATACGTAGCTGTACAATCAAAAAAGCAGAGTCAGGGTCCAGCAAAGGGGAAGCTGAGCCAGAGAGAGACCTACTCAGAGCTAAAGCTGAGGGATTTGATTTTTATGCACACACATACACACTGCTGTATTTTATGGGAATGTATTGTAGTTTTTGAGTATATTTAAGTATTTTAGCCCTCTGACTGACTCAGGCTTGCCTGACCTGGTCTTGTTCAGTGCAGAGCTGTCTTGCTTACAAACTGTAAGTAAAGAAAGTAGTAGGTGTCATCCTGAAGTTTCTTGAAGGTCTTCAGCGTAATCTGATTCACTGTATACAACAAAAACACTAATATGTATTAAAATGTAATATTTATGCCTCCCCCAAAAGGGTGCTAGCATAAAAAGCCTCTCCGTCTCAAAGTCCCAGGCTGAATTTCAGTCCCAGTAGGCTACATATATAGGTTATATATACTAAATATAGTAATATACTACTAAATATTTACTCCCACTAACTTACAGGTATAGTTACATTATGTAACTAACTGAACAAGCTAACTTAACTGACAAAACTAACGTTAGCTTGTTCAGGTACGACCCATGTAACAACTGAAGAGTAAAAGAGGTAACAGTAATATTGTCAGCATATCTAACGTAGTGGGAATATTAACGTTATATTAGATATCACCAAAATACCATAATATACCTCCAATGACATTTATATTCTAAAAAGTGCTAACGTTAGCCTAATGTTAACTAACCAAATAATGTCAGTTGGGTTGTGTGAATACCATTCATTTTTAAACACATATTTCTCTTTGTAAGTTATCCAGATACAAAACAAGCTAGCTAATAGGGTTAGTTACTAAGAAATTAGGAAAGACTTAAAAAACCTGGTAATGGATATATGAACAGCCAGTACAACCCAATCCAGATCCTCAGGAATGGAGTCCCAGGGAGGGGTCCTGATTGCAAAAGCCTCATCACATTAATTAATCTTGAGGGAGGATTCAACAACAGCCAGAGGACCCTGAGTATCTGAGGCCACACTCTGTAACGTTAATCAGTAACAGTTATCTTAAAATCATCTCAGTGGTAACTAGTAAAGAGAGGTCAGAACAGGGACAAGATGAGAAGGCCAGTCACTGAAACAGGTGGTTAGCTTATTTTACCTAAAGGAATAGTTTGACAATTTGGTGAACACGTGTGCTCACCCTCTAACTCTCTGTCCGGTGATACCATTAACGTTACAGCCTGACTTAGCATAAAGTCTGAAAACATGGAAACAGCTAGCCTGGCTCAGTGAACACATATAATCTTATTCATTTAATCCGTACAAAAACTGACGTGTTAAAAATGAAAATTCGCCGTTTGATGGTTTTAGTAGTCAACTTTATATTTAACAGGCAAATTGAAGAATAGCAGTGATCTTAACAAGGTCACACTGTGGCCTATTTCTCAAACTTCTTGCTTTTTAAAAATGTTTTATATACTGGGACAAACAGGATTCCAGTACAATTCACCTTAATGAAATGATCTGCAAAACTCAAATTGACACTCATTCCTGGGACTGTTCAACTTACTGATATTAATATTTGTGAAGGTTTTAGTCAGTGAATATGTGATACATTGAGTGACTGATTTTTTAAATGTAGGCTATGTTATTTGTTCTCAGGTAAGGAGACTTTCTGAATAGATCAAACTTAACTGCAGCTACATCAGTTAAACATATAGGCCTACCTAAAAGCGACCCATGATCTAAAGCACATTAACAGCTATTAAAAGTCTGAAGGATAGGCTAAGCGAAAACGTGTGACCTAATTTACTGCCTTCTAATCAGATTTCAGATTTTAACCTTTTGTCTACTGCCGCCCACCTACGAAATATTACTTTATGGGCCAATTTGCGGTGACAGGAGGAAGCGTCTGTTTCTTAAAGGGGGGTTTCTTTGAGGGTATTTTGACAGAAGCACTTGAGATTTTCCACTCAGGTAAAGACTGAGTAAACAGACTAGCTCTGAAGTGGCAATCAAAGAGAGGGAGGCCACGTGGGCCACTTAACAAATCTTTGTATCCATGAAATGAATTTGCACATGAAATCTGAAGTGCAGGGAGAGTTTTTCATCAACAGGACGGGGGTGATTTATTAAAGTATTTCTGACTAATACAACTCCTTCCCAATAATTTCTTTTCAACACCAAACCTCCACAAATACTGACTTCATCGTTTCTGTCCTCCAACAACCTATTATTATTATTAATATCTGCAGCACAAAGAGGTTGCTAAATAAAACCATGAAAAAGTTTTTCTAAGAGATTGATTTGGATTGTAATATTAAGATTGACTCAGACTCCCACACACTCAGTTTATCGCCTCGCTCAAAATGTAATTTGTCCACTGTGGTTATATTATATTAGATGTAGAAATCTGTACACAATATTTCATAGGATGTTAATTTTAGTGGAGGCAGTAATGAGGTTTGAGAATAAATTAGTTTTGAGGAAGCTAGGAAGGCAGGGGTCAAAGTGGAGGTTGTAATTTGTCTGAATTGATATTTTTCACTTCAAACAAAACAAATGTAGATGGAAGGTGGCTCTGATAAATAGTCCGATCTGAGTTTTATGGAATTTCTGTGAGTTGGAAGATGCTACAGAAATATTTTAGCGTTGCCAAGTTGGAGTTTTTGGCTGTGGAAAGATGTGATTTTGGCAGAGCGATGAAGCAGGTTTGGCTGGTAGATGTCCAGATATCTGTTTGTGTGTCCTACACGCAGTGAGGGCAGGCAGGCGTAATGGTTGTTACGTCCAGACTTGCATCAAACAGCATTAGCAAATAAATCTTGATGTTGTGGTTTTACCTTACTTGGACTGCCAGCTGGGTGGGAGTTTGCTGGCAAGGAAAATATGGTATATTTTAAAGTCTGAGTGAAATTAGCATATACCTGTTCTGTGTCTAAACCAAATAACCTAATATGCAAAAGCGCTTGACCTCAGTGTGACCTCGATTGCATCATATAAATCCTTGTGCTGAATCCATGCAAATCAAAACGCAGTCAATGTGCAGGATTGGCCGACACGCTTTGCATGAATTATGAGGGCCTGCTCAGGTTTTACCCACACAACCAGGAGTTTTGATGGACACTTGGAAGTCTGATAACACCAAAATCACTTGCAGGTTTTTATCTTTTATTCTTCATCCTCTTCATGCTGCATTTCTGTTTACATAAGATGTCCTGTCAGAAATAGTGAACATTGGTTGCACAGATACCAGCTGAGGCAGCGCCCTCTTTTGGGTATCACAGGCAACATCTCGCATGTTACTGTTCATTATTTGAGAAGCATCTCTTCAGGACTGCAAACAGCCTTTTTTCCATTATTGATTGAGCAGTTCTCATAATCAGTTAATTAAAGATCCCTCAGACATGTTTTAAGACAAATAAAAAGTCAGTTAACAAGATTAAATGTACTAAAATTACATCTACTCATTCTCCCTTGTTGAAAAACTGAGGCTCTATGAATATGAAAATCTTTTTCATGTCAAAAGTTTCACTGCTGGACACACAATGTCTCCCACTTACTAAAACTGCTGCATTACTTCTCAGTGTGTGTGCGCTGCAGGTTTTAAGTTTCCATATCACACACGTTGCATATTGGATCATGAATGTCTTCCAAACTAGTGTCACAAAATCATCTTGTACATACACCTCTTGAAACGTGGTAGAGGAATTGTTTAGATCTTTTACTGAAGTTAAAAGTACTAGTACCACACTGTAAAAAATAATCTGTTTAGAGTAAAGGTGATACAGAATTACTGCAGTAATGTTACAATGTTACTTAAGTAAAAGTATGTCAAAGTATAATCAGTAAAATCAGTTAAATAGTAATTTAATAGTAATTTCCTGTCAATTGGTTAATTAATTAATTAATTAATTAATTAATTAATTGTTGTGAAACTAATTGTTTCAGCTGTACTTGTACTGTTGGGTACTTTAATTTAAAACATCATATTTTATAAGGTCTTTGTGTTTTGTAAGCAAAAATGTTAATTTGTAAAGTAACTAAAGCATTCAAATAATTGTATTGAAGCAAAAAGTACAATATTTACCTCTGAATAGAGCCGAAGTAGATAGTGGTTTGAAACAGTATGGAAAGAAAAGACTCGGGTAAAGTAGAAGTACCTCAAATTGGTGTGGTATCTTAAATTCAGATTTCAGGTGAGCACAGAGAAACTTTCCCCATTTGTGGTGTCAGACACTGCACATACATCATTTTGTACAGTGAGCATCAAACATCCAAATAAGTAACAATAAGCAAAATTGCAAATTAATCGTTTAATCCTTAATGGTCAGAAAATAGTGCCCATTACAAGTTCCCCAAACCTGAAAGTAACATGTTCAAATTGTTTGTTTTGTCTGACCAGCACTCCAAAACCCAAAGATAGTCAGTTTATAATCACAAAAGACAGCAAACATTTGAGAAGCTGGAAACCAGATAAAGTTGCAGATACATTTTCTGCTGTTCAACTAATCAAGTATTTTAGCTCTAGATTAATCTGTTTTCATTATCCTTTATTTGTGTCATTTTATCAATTAACCATTTAAGATGTGTGAAAGTAATGAAGTATGCCCTTCACATTTCCCCAGAACCCTTGGTGATGTCTTCATATGTTTTGTTGATGCTTCATTTTTTCTTGATTGACTAATTGTTTCAGCACCACAGATTAAACAGACTTTTCAGTCTTAATTTTTCAGCCATCATAGACAAGAAGTCCTCTGAAAAGAATTCAGTTTCAACATCTACAATTCCCCTGCTTAAGAAGAGCATGTGATACAGAACAGCTACTAACAGACCTTGTGAAAAGATTGTATACTTTTCCATGATTGCCTATTATTTCCTAGTGCTCAACGGACAAATATG